TGATTTCTTGTTTTGCATTTTGCAGAGTCAAAATCTGATTTCCTTTTTGAGGTGTTATTTTGATGATATATCTATGTAGAACATGTTATGCTGGTAGAAATCTGTAGATGGTTATCTGAGCAATTTGTTGATTGATGTCATGGTTGAAAGTGATTACATTTTTTATTTAGCATTTCTTTTCGACGTTTGTTGTTTTAGCTTAGGAATGGGGAACTTAGTTAGGCTTTCATCAGTAAAAACTCATTGAAGTTAATCAAACTCCACAATACTCTGGTTTCATAGCCACTTCATTTGAAATAGAGTTGGGTGAGATTTTAAAAAAGAAATATGTATGAGTGGCTTTCTATAGATATTTTAGTAGTGAGAATGATGTATTTTCTTGTTTGTGTGCTTCTTAACGTTGTATCAATTACAAAAGGTCCTTACTTTTCATTTTTTCATTTTTATTAAGATGATCGTTCACAGGTGAGAAAGAAGCTTTATGTTCCTAGAGTGGAAGACAAGAATAGTTTCATGCGAATGCTAAATATCTCTGGCATGGATGATTTGATTGCAAACTCCATGGACATACTGGAACCTGCTCCTTGTGATGCTGAGGGAAACGAACGTGAAGATGGTAATTCCTTTTGCAAAAATCCCACTTTCTAATGTTGATGGAATTACTATTCGTCTGTTCTCATAGTGTTTCACTATTTGCTGCATATAGAATCTTTGCACGACTGACTGACTTAATGTCATGAATATTATGAATAAATGGTTGACTTATTGCACTTCATAGCTTTGATCAGTATTTGCATCAAGAGACGGACCACAACACTAATTTGCTAAAGGCATATTAATTGTGTCTCAATCATTTCATCTTCTGCTACTTATATGTGATGTTGAATAAAGTGTACTTTTATGTATGCAGTTATGTTTGCGAGTGAACCAGTTGACCTGTTTATTTTACCTGGTAAGACCCTTAGAACTTGCTGTGGCTTGAATGGAAGCCCTTTTCACTTTCATGACAAATTATGTTTCGTCTATTTGTCGTTTTATTATCACAGGACTTGCTTTTGACAAATCTGGAAGACGTTTGGGACGAGGTGGAGGGTAGGTCACTTTTCTTGTTTACGATTATTTGGATTTATATGAGTAATGCACCATCTATCTAAGATCTGAAACTAATGCATTTGGGTTAAAAAGGATTAAACTTGCTGTAATCTTACATGTTTGTTGTCTTTTCTCTGCAATTTTTTTTTCTCTACACATTTCTCATTATCTCATCTTTTCATGATGCCATTAGTTTGTTCTCTATATACATTAATTATGATTTTTCACCTTTCTTTATCTAAATCATTTGAAGTTACTACGACACCTTCCTCACGAAATATCAGGAGCTCGCAAAAGATCGGCAGTGGAAGAAGCCTTTGTTCGGTATATTATATGTTACTCATATTAATTGCACTTGGTATCCTTGAATATGCTATTTCTTGATTTCTTCAGTACAAAAGTAACATTCACATATCGATTATTTTCCCGTTTTCACGTGCAGTTGCTCTTTCTTATTCACGGCAAATATTGGAAGATGGTGTTATACCAATCACTCCAAACGATGTGCCGGTTGATGCCCTCGTCTTATCCTCGGGTGTAATCCCTATTAGTCGAGCAGCTCGTGAGGTGTGTAATATTTGAGAATGGCTTTTTGCTGCAAGCTTCAGCTTCGATTGAAGGATTCGAAACTGTGCCCTTACGTGTACGGGCATACGGGTGGCGATATTGGGAGATTTTTTTTTTCCATTAATGGGTGCATTTATTTAAATTAACTAGAATATTAGTCATGCATAAGAGATTTCTGAAGGAAATCAATTTGTTCACATTCAAAAAACTTGTAACTCTCTGTATTTTTCTCGGAAAAGTTGCAGTTTTAGTCTATTAATTGTTGTTTCTCATTTTTTGGTCCAAATTGATCCAATAATTCTAAAATTTAAGAGTTATTGGACCAATTTCGGCGGGATCGAAATTTGACCAAATTGGCTAAAATTGAAGAGTTATTAGACCAATTTCGGACCACATACAAAATAGAAAACGCTCTAAATGAGTGGACAAAAACTGTTATTTTTCCATTTTTCTCTCTGGCGTTGGTTCTCATTGAAAAAAGGTAAGCAATGTCATGATCTTATTCAAACTTTGTCCTTATTATAATAATTCTATTTCGAGAATAATTCTTCTAAAATAATATTTTATCATAATTACAGTAACATTATTTAATCATCGTGTATGAGTTATCTAATCAAATTTAACATTCTTATCGAGATATATTTCATTCAAAGATTAATTAAATTAAATCACTTGAAAAACATCCCAAAAAGACAATATGGTATTTCTACAATATCAAAGTTGAATTACCTAACTGAAATTCTAATAATGATAACTTGTTATCGAGTAAAAACACTTGCGTTACATCTGGTTAAGTTGACTACAACTATAATTATCAATGTTGAATTCTCCACGTCTGTTGGGTAAATTCTAATGTGTAAAATCAGATAATGTAAATTTTATTGTGTTATTCTTTATATCTTTTTGGATGAATTTAGATTATTTTGTCCAATTTAAGAACATTGTTTTCCTTTTCTATGTCAAGGTCTCGTATAAAATTCATGAAAGAATAATTTCACACGCTAAATAATTTAAAATAATAATAATAATAACAAAACCGACAAAACCTAAAACAACATGTAATTTAAACAGTCTAAATGTCTGGTTGATCTAATCTGTAGCAAGATGAAGAAAACTTGTTGATTTTTTTTTTTGGCTTTATTTTAATTTTCATAGTATTGCAATGCCACATACATTATAAAAACTTCAAGACATTGAATCACAAATTCAAATATAACAACCTAAGAAAATATTATCATATATATGAAGAAAACCAAAAAACAAAAGAAAAA